AAAAAAAAAAAAAAAAAAAAAAGAACTGAGCTAAGGGGCAGGCCCCCAACAGGAAACTAACGAAGAAAAATAATTCTAAGGAAGCTCAAACAGGGCTGACGAGATAACTCAGCGGTCTAAAGCGCCTGCTTAGGCAAGCTTAGGCAGGCTTAGGGGACTGCAGTCGGATCCCTGACACCACATGCCCCACCTGTTCCAACCTCAGGGTAGGCTGAGCAGTCAAAAAGAAAAAAAGAAGCTCAAATAATAAAGCACTCAAATCATGGTAACTGTTGGGTAGCCCAAAAGACAGAGCACTCGGCAAATCAATCAACATGCAGAACTTATCCTTTTATACCAGTATTTTCACCTCAAGTGTCAAACCCATACCTCTAACAGGGCTTCTCCCCACTGCTATACTAAGTCATCTGAACTGCTTAACTATTCATTAAAATAAAACATGCTCTAACTCAAAGAGGAGGACATCAGGAATAGTTAGTATTTGATCACATGAACAAAAATTAATAGAAATTTAGACTAAAACCAAGAGAAGTAAAATGAAATCTGAAAACTAACATCCTAAAAAGGAAAGATATTAACTTTATTTACCTAGCCAAAGTATCACTTGATATTTGAGCAAGTTATGATATATACAAAATATAAATTCCAAGATATAAGCAAATTCAATTGGAAAAATAATTTGAAGAAAAAAAGTTGAATAGTCTTCAAATCAGTATTTGGGAGAAGCTGATACAGAACTTACCAGCATTACATTCCAAGCCTTTCTGCAATAGTTTTAAAAAAGCAAAAGTGAAGTAGCTTTCAATGATCAAACAATAAACCTCACATAAATCCTTCAATATTTAGTAACTTCTAAAAAATAAGTTATGACCTATTCAAATTTAAGAAACAAGCATATCAATACTCCAGGAGAAAAATGTATCATTTTCGCTAAAACATTAAAAGGATACCAAACTACTGTGTGATATACATATTTAATATATATTATATATGAATGACATTGGCACTCTGGCCCACAATGGGTTTGTACAACAAAATTCAATTTTATTACTTCATTACTATAATTTTAATTAGTACACATGGAATATAGCTTTACAAAGTATTTTTAAAAGCTGTTTCATAGTATCAGATACCAAGAATACATAGCTCATATAGGCTGCATAGTTATTTTGACCTTGTAATATAGATGACCCAATTACTAAAACATGTATCTATATCTATATATTTTTTGGTACCAGGAATCAAACTCAGCACTCTGCGCTTGCCAGGCAGGCACTTGTTACTGAGCTATATTCCCAGCCCAGAATACTGTTATAATGAAAAATACATTTTCTTTTTTTTTTTTTTGGCAGAACCAAGGATTGAACTCTTGCCCTTGCACTTGCCAGGGAAGTGCTTATTCTACTGAGCCATCTCCCCGGCCCTGAAAAATACTTTTTAATCGTTCATATTCAACAGTAGAAATGTTCAATGTACACAGATTCTGAATGCATTTTGTTTCAAATTTGTTATGCTATCACTTGCTGTTTTGATGACATAAAAATATTTCTCAGACTCTCAATGTCTGATTAGATAGATAAGAGGTTTTCCTGTGAAAGAATTATTATGTAAATACAGTATGAAAACCAGACTGGCTGTAAGTAGGCTAAAATTAACAATTCCAGAACACTGCACATCTGGCACATGCTGCACTGTTAGCACTTGTCTTGCATTTGCTGCCTTCCTTCCTTCCTTAAGAGCAAGATTAAACCCCCAGGCACATAAGACTGGGTTCAGTGAGCTCCATCTCTTACTTTTCTACTGTAGATTTGCAATTTAGCATACCTGCCACCTGTGCATCTCAGTCTTGTTCCTTGATACAGGAAGGAATCAATGTGTTTAACCAACTTAATATGATGAACAGCAAAGTGTACCTAAGTACACAAAAGTAGCACAAGGGGATTTTTACCCACCTTATGTTCCAAGTACTTTTAAAAAAAACACCCTATTTTTAATTTTTTTGTGGCCAGCTCAGCCCACCCTGGGGTCAGGGCTGGAGCAGCATGTGGTGCCAGGGATCGAAACAGTCCTTGCCCTTGCTTAAGTAGGCGCTTTAGACAACTGAGCTATCTCGCTGACCCTCCATGTACTTTATTTTGAATATGTTTACCCAAGTATCACAGGGTCCAATAGACCCACACCACTCAAAGATTTGTTAAACATGTTTTTTTTTTTTTTATTCTGGTAGCCCAATTCAGTACAATGGCACATGGAAAACCAGATTAGCTAGTTTTGGAGGTTGAAAGTTAATTATCAGATTACTCCTGCATGGATGATGGTGACCCATTATGGTAAAATACACATTTTCATAACAGCATGGTATGGGTAAGATGATGATGGCCATGTGAGCCAAAGTTTCTGTGACAATAAAATGGAGCAAGAATTGACTAATATAGACAGGGCCTTCTTGATACAGGTGGCAAAGAAAACAATGTGAACAATATTTGACTAGTCGAAATATTAAGAAATGGCCATGCAACTAAATGGAACAACCCAATGTTAGAACTAAGTCAAAAAACATTGTGAGGGAGCAGGGGTGAAATGTATTAGAGAGAATCCCAGCACTGCCATTTGATATTGAAACCATAACAGACAAAAGGATCCAAGGAAGCTGTGAAATATACAAAGGCTGAAAGGAAAGTAAAAATGTTCTGTGTGCACCAATAGCCATATTGTGATACTCTGCTAGTTCAACTGAAGACATGGCATAAAAACTGTAGAACTCAGCCATCACTCCCTTATTCATATAGTAATAAACTGAATGATGCTGTGAACAGACTTGTTCTTGCAAACCTTTCAGAATGTGACATTTAACAATTGGTTTACTCATTGCTAAAAGAGAACAAGTTGACCATTGCAGGAACTTTACACAGGAATAAAGCAGAAATTCCAAATGAAATGTTGCCAATTTCAAAACAGAATTGTACACTACAATTTTTGAATTTCAGAAAGATGTAACATTGGTTTCATATATGGCAAAGAAAAACAAAGTGGTGCTGCCGCTGTCAACACTTCACCATGGTGGGGAAACATTGATAGGGAAACATTAGCGAAACAGAAGCCTGAGGTGGAAACTCTGTACAACAAAACTGAAGGTGGAGTAGATGCTGTTAATGAGTTATGCAACAACAACGATAGCACTTCAAACACAAAGTACCAGCCAATGGTTGTATTTTACTCAATTCTAAACATGTGGCATAATTTGATAGTTTACAAAGAAAGAAACATGTGAAAAACATCATAGAAATTTTCTGAGGATTGGGACTGGTGCTCATGAGAGATCATTTATAGCAGAGGAAAAACAAAATGGTTTTGTCCATGGAACAACGCAAAAAATTATGAAGCATACTGGCGAGCTGACAGGTGAGTAAGAGGGCACGGCATCAGAGACTGGCTACAACAGGAAGATAAAAAAGATGTCAATTGTGTCCACAACAAAGGGTAGGAAAACATGCATCCTCAGTGTAATCAATATTTGTGCATAATATGCAGTTGTCATGTGTGAAGTCTGCCTTGGGCGTGACAGTTGAAGCCAAGCTTACTTCTATAGTAGAGTTCTATTTGTAGCATATAGGAATTTACTTATGTTATTTTTAGGTTTTGTAAGCAAGTAAAAAGCTGATGTGAAAATGTTGATCTCTATTCTAAGTATTTATTACATATTTTGATATTTTATTGATAACTCATTTTTGGTACTGGGGATCAAACACAGAACCTTGCGTTTGCCTGGTGGGTGCTTATGCCACTCAGCTATCTCCTCGGCCCTTTATTGACATTTTATTTCCCTGATTATATGTTATACAATATAGCAGGAAGCTCATCACAAAAGAGACAACACTGCCTGCCGCACAGGAAAGGGCATGTGATGTCACTGTGAGAAAATGGAACCCGCAGTTGTCATGTGTGAAGACTGCCTTGGGTATGATAGTTGAAGCAAAGTTTACTTTTGTTGTAGAGGTCTATTAATACGTATACAATAAATAATATATTTATATCTATTTTAGATAGGATTTCATTGTGCAGTTCAGGTTGACCTGGAACTCACTTTGTAGCCCAGGCTGGCCTTGAACTCACAGCAATCCTCCTGCCTCAGCCTACTGTATTTCACACAGGAATTTAGTTTTGGTATTACCTTTTAGATTTTCTAAGCAAATACACGGCTGACATGAAGATGTTGAATATTTTAAAAGTACAATATATATTAAGAATTTAATACTTTATTTTGATATTTTGTGTTCCTATTATCTACACATTATATGATAAGAACTGACAAAACAAGACCAGCAAGATGTAAAGTGTATCCTACAAAAATTCCAGGAAAATACATGTGCTGTCAGTGTAAGCAATAGGTGTATATGGAATGTGCAGTTGTCATGTGTGCAGACTGCCTCAGGTATGATAATTGAAGGTAAGATTATTTTTTTGTAAAGTGCAGTGCTATTGGCATTTTCATTGTATATTTTTATATAAAAATTTGTATTTTTAGATTTTGTTCACCAAAAAGTCAATGTTGAAAATTTTGATGTTTTATAAACGTTGAATATTATAACTTTAATACTGCATTTTTTGCGATTTTTTCCTGTTAAGTACTCATTGTTTAATACAATAAAATTCATAAAATTAAAATAATTCATCAATAGAAATATTCTAAAGAATAATCGTGCGTCTGATAGACCCATACTTCTACACCTTGATGACAAAATTAAATTCTAGGGGTCAATTGTATTTATACTACAGAGTAATTAACAGGCTCAATTTAAGATGTATATATTTAAGAAAGATAGTCTAGATCAGAAATCTCAATTATTTTCTATTTCACATGATTGCTGTTGCAAAGGACTGCTTTATGTGCAATACTTCCAGGTAGAAGTCTACATGTCACTCAAGTCCAACCCATATATCAAATACAGACATGAAGCAACTACATGAGCAGCATGTGCAAAATCCAACATTTTGTTAGCTATTTACATAACCGTGGTCAGAAAAGAAATGTGCCAAAACTCCCTTTCCCATTCCACTTAAACTGGTTCCCCACAATTGCAACAAACATTTCCTGTGACATTAAGTTGTCATCAGCTTGTGTGATGCCCAGTTCACTCAACCTTTTCTTCTTCATCTGGCCTTTTTGTGTGGAGGCAGCAACTAGCTCATTTATAATTTCACAATTTCCCTCAACTTGTTTAGAAAGGTCAGCAGCAATTCCATAAATCTCCTTCTTGTCAGTTGCACAATGAATCAGCTCCTCTAGATCCACTCTTCCAGCTGTACCTGCCTCTCTACTTGTTTGAATCTTAATTGCTTCATTTCCTGGAGAAACAAATTATAACAAATATGGTTAAATATACAGGCTAACCAAACAAAACTGTATTTCTATACTGTTTATTACAGTTTTCAAGTTTTTCTATCAAGGATTCTGGCTCTGACTAAAATTCTCACCGTAGGGTCTCAAGAATCTTCACATCTTGAATTCTTACCTTCTTCATCTTAGAATTTCATTCCTCAGTAGATATTTCTTAAGTATTTATTATCTGCTAAGTTCTGCATTAGGAGCTACTTTATTTAAACTCTCAATCTAACAGCAAATTCTGGGTGCGCCCTAAATTCCCCATACCCTGGCAGTACTTTCATTATTGTTAAATGTTAAAAGCATGTTACATTCTAGTTTTGCAATGATTAAGTTATTATTCAGTTTTCTCCGACTGACTGGAGAGGAAGAAATCACAAAAGATTCACAGTGAGGAAGACTATCTGTTGCTGAAGTAGACAGGCCTATAGGACACAGACCTGAGTGTGATTCCCAGCTAACAAGAAAATGGAAACCTCAGTCCCATAACCTAAAGGCATGGGCTTTGCCAATGAATGAATATGAAAGGGTCTTCAACAGGTAAGAGTCCTGTCCACCTGAAATCTTAATTCCAAGCTATGAGACCTATGAGATAAAACTTTTACAGATAAAATGGAGCAGACCCTGAAAAGATGGCAAGGACTAACCTTTAAACTGCTTTAGAGTTTCTATACACACCATCAAGGTTCAGTCTTCTAAGGCTGATGATTAGATTTGCATCAATGTTTGAAATTCAGTTAATATCTACTGAACTAGCTAACCTCTGCTGCCAAGGCATGTAATAAGGAGACACTTCTACCAATGAGAAATAAGGGCAAACTCCAGTATCCCCTCCTGTAAATATAACCCTTACACTGGCAAATTCCTTTTACTGCCTCCATCTGTAACAAATGTCAACAGGAATCACCATTGTTATTACACACTAATCCTGATTCTATGCACTTACAGAAAACCAAGTATCAGAAGAAGGGAATTGCAGGTTCAAAGAACCACAACATCAAGATTTTGAATGAACATTTGATCTTATTGACCTTGAAAATGTCTTTCATGCTAAGATTCTGTAATATACCTTTGTGCATATCTCTATGTCAGGAATATTTTTAAGGAAGAAAAATTCAGGCCTTAATCAGAATTTAGTGCTGAAATAAAAATAAATTAGATCAGGATTTTATATTCTAAAAATACTAACATAGCATACCTTCAGTATCATCTTGGTCATTTTCTTTCAATTCAGAGAAAATTGTAGGTTTCACCAAAACAACACCGTAACCTTCATTATTATGTATAACATTATTTACCATGGATATTTCAGGAATGTCATAATGCTCATCTAAGAAATCCTGTGACATTGAAAACAAGTCTTAAGGAACTGTCATGTTCAACATTGCCTGCTTTAAAAATCACCTTTTTAATATTATTCTAACAACAGAAAAGTAATGCTCATTAATATATTGTAGGTTAGCTCTCAGTAATCACCACTCTTGTCCCTTCTAGAGATGTAAAGGCAGTGAAACATTCTGATTAAGACTTTCAATCACCAGGAACAGCCAAATAGCTCAGTGGATTAAAGCACCTGCAAGCTGGTGCTGGGGCTGGCTGTTCGATCCCCTGGCCTGCCGTGCCGGTGCGCTGAGACGGCAATTGAGACTGGGCGTAGTGGCACGAACCTGTATCCCAGCTCTTGGGGGGCTGTAAACAGGTGGACCACTATGAGTCTGACCTAGTAGTGAGACCCTGAATACCCTGTAGACCCTTCCCTAAAAAAATACAAAAAAATAAAGACTTTCAATCACCAAATTATTGATATTATTAAAATCTATATACTATTGTTTATTCTTTTCAAAATTAGAAAATAACAGATCCCAACATGGGAATTTAATAAAACATAATTTCTTACATGAAAACATTTTGAGTGCTTTGTTTTGTTGGGTTTCACTATGCAGTTCAGGCTGGCCTTGAGCTCACTATTAGTTCAGAATGCCCTTTAACTCTTTGTGATGCTCTAGGTCCAACTTCCAAAGTGTTAGGATAACCGGTGGACACCACCAGGCCCGGCCATTCTAACCTTTTGAAACAATGTGTTCCATACAACGCTCACCTTGATGAGGATCCCCTCTTTGCAGTGATGGATCCCATTGTCACTCAGGATACATTTACTCCCAGGATATATTTCTAAACCAGCTCCCTAGAAGTTCACAAGTTGAGGTAATGACAACCAGTTTTTAAAAGGCAGGACTATAAAAGGTTTGTTACAATCTCTTTTTAGAAGTCTTTACCAGAACAGAAAGGTAAAATGTGAAGACATAGTATCTTGCAGATCACTTTTCTCAGGTATTTCTAATTAATATTTCCATTTAACTGATTTCCAATAAGTTGTAGATCACATCACTTTCAAAAAGCACACAAAGTGACAAATCATCTGCCTGGCAAGTGCAAGGTCCTAAGTTTAAGTCCCAGTACTGAAATAAATTTTAAAAAGGCACATATACACATTCTCTCTCTCTCTCTCTCTCTCTCTCTCTCTCTCTCTCTCTCTCTCTCTCTCTCTC